GGGCAAGCCACCTCTGCTTCTCAGTTGCCTTCAGAGCCCCTGGCTGGGGTCACCGTCAGTCGGCTGTGACTTGACAGCACTTTACACACATAGTAAAGGTTTCCCTTGCTCGAAAGCCAGTCAAATCCAACTCTAGGGTGTGGTGCTCATCTCCATTTCCAAGCCGAAGAGCCAGCGCTGTCTGAAGACTTTTTCCACGGTCATGTGGCTGGCATAACTAAACGCTGAGGTGCACGGAACACTGTTACCTTCCCACTGAAGCAGTACCTCTTTAAAGGTAAAGGTTCCCTTGCTCGAAAGCCAGTCAGATCCGACTCTAGGGTTGCGGTGCTCATCTCATTTTTAAAGCTGAAGAGCCAGCACTGTCTGAAGGCATTTCTGTGGTCATGTGGCCGGCATGACTAAACACCAAGGTGCACGGAACGCTGTTACCTTCCCACTGAAGTGGTACCTATTTATCTACTTGCAATTTCTTGCTTTTGAACTGCTAGGTTGGCAGGCACTGGGGCCAGAGACGGGAGCTCACTCAGTCATGCGGCACACTCGGGTCTCGAACTGCTGAACTACCAACCTTCCACAGCCTGCAGTTCAGCATCTTAACCACTTGAGCCACCACAGCTCCTAGTACCTCTTTATCTACTTGCAATTTCTTGCGTTCAAACTGCTAGGTTGGCAGGAGCTGGGGCCAGAGACGGGAGCTCACTCCGTCACGCGGCACTCAGGTCTCGAACTGCCGAGCTACCGACCTTCCAGTCTGCAGCTCAGCATCTTAGCCTCTGAGCCACCATCTACTTGCAATTTCTTGCGTTCAAACTGCTAGGTTGGCAGGAGCTGGGGCCAGAGACGGGAGCTCACTCCGTCACGCGGCACTCAGGTCTCGAACTGCCGAGCTACCGACCTTCCAGTCTGCAGCTCAGCATCTTAGCCTCTGAGCCACCATGGCCCCTTTACTTTACACACATAAGCCACCTTAAAACAGTTTATGCCTGTGGCCATCATTACATCCCCTGGCAGTGAATACCACAGTTTAATCACTTGAAATGCCGACATATTTCCTTTTGTCTGTGTTGAATCTACTGCCTATCATCTTCATTGGGTTCCCCTGAGTTCTAGTATGTTAGGAGAGGGAGGAAAAGTTATTTCTGTCCACTCTCTCCACCCTGTGCATAATTGCACAAACCCATACTATTTGTATATCAACTGAATAAACCTATTATCACGTCCATCTTTTGCGGTGCCTTCTCTAAACTGAAAAGTCCTACACTCTCCATCCTTTCCTCATAGGAAAAGTGCTCCAACCCTGTAAACATCTTGGGGGCCCTCTTCTGTACTTTTTCCAGCTCTGCGATGTCCTTTTTGAGATACAGTGACCAGAATTGCACGGAGTATTCCAAATAAGGCCACGCCGCTGATCTATGCAGCTGGAGGGTGTTCAAGGGGACCCTTTCCCTCTGCCCTACAGCTGGCTGGCAGTCAGCCAGTGCTTGCTTGCTTGATTATTTATTTATTTATCATATTTGTATCCCACCCATCCCGTAAGCGGGCTCAGGGCGGGTCACATCATCCTAAATAATACAGTAAGGTTTAAAACACAATAAAACATTTACATTACAAACCTTTCAAATCAGTCGTTATAGCTGCTGGTAAAAATTCTGACCCATTCATATTGATGGATATAGCTGGTTACTGGTAGATTGGTGGCCAGTAGGTAGGAGACAACAACCTCGGGGAGGCCATAGGTGGACGCCCGCTGCCTCCACCAAAAGCCTGGCAGAAGAGCTCCATCTTGCAGGCCCTGCGGAACTGAGTAAGATCCCGCAGGTCCCTGATCTCGATGGGGAGCATGTTCCACCAGGTGGGGGCCAGGTCAAAAAAGGCCCTGGCGAGGCTAGACGGTGATATCTCTCATTACCATTGTTTGCATAGTTGCAGCAGAGAGAGCAGTGGCAACTCACAACTAGGGCAGCTTGGCAGTTGCCCCACCCTCCAACACATGGCTCATGGCATCTACCCTGGCTGCCCCACAGCTAGGGCCACCTATGATCTCACTGAGCCCCATCCAGCACCCTCACTCTGCCCCATGCTATGTTACTATTAGTACTGGAAAGGGACAGAGACAGTCAAAGAATGAGCATCTATCCTTGTCCTCACCCTCCAAGGCCAACAACAGGCTGGACACATTCTTTGATTCCAATCAGGAATACAACACAAGGTGAGCCCCTCTTCTTCTACAACATGACCCCAATAGGCCCTGCACCCCAGCCGCAATTGGCCTTAAAAATTTATCCTAGATCTCCCAGTTTCTTTGTCTTACATATAAGGAGTGTACAAATTCATAGAGGACAGTGGGTGACAGGTCTTGTAGCCACAATAGTCAAATGCAACCACCAAATCCAAAATGAGTACAGGTTTGATTTTTTTTTCCATTGAGTCACAGCTGACTTATGGCAACCCCGTGGGGCTTTCAAGGCAAGAGAATAACGGAGGTGGTTTGCCATTGCCTGCCTCTGTGTCACAACCCTATATTTCCTTGGTGGCCTCCCATCCAAATACTAACCAGGGCCAACCCTGCTTAGCTTCCAAGATCTAAAGATTAGGCTAGATTGGGTTACCCAGGACTCAGGGCTCAGGTTTGAATTACTGGGATGTAAACAGCAGGAGAGTTTCCACAGGCAGCCAACTACTTTCTGTTGGAAACTGGACTAGATGGATCTTTCAGCCAACCCAGTAGGGCACTTCTTGTTGGAATGTGCAAGGTCTATCGTGCATAGATAAAGAAAATGACAAGAACATCCTTCAGGGGGCAGCAGAGGGGACAACTAGTTAGCATAGTGAGATTAGGGACTTTCTACTATTTTCAAATACGCTCCTTCCTGTCTCCTCTTGGGCTCAATTAAGATTTTCTCTGCTCTTGCTGAGAACAGTTAGTTACAGACTCTTATTTTAGCTAGTTAGTCAGTTAGATCTCTCTCCTTCTCTCTCCTCTTTCTTACAAAGTTTGTTCTTTCCTTAATAAACCGACTTTATCCTTTAAACAGCTTGTATTCCACATTACTGCATATCTACACTGTGCCAACACTTCCTAGGCTCTTAAACAAACCTATATTCAATTGTGAACGCTGCACTACCCAGAATACATATCTGACTTCTCTTTAGCATTCTAGTTAAGAACAGAAGGACATAAGAAGTGCCCTGCTGGATCAGACAAATGGTCCACCTAGTCCAGCATCCTGTTGCACAGAGTGGCCAAACAGTTCCTCTGGAAGGCCAACAAGAGGGCATAGAGGCTGAAGCCTTCCCCTGATGTTGCCTCCTGGCACTGAGATTCAGAGGTTGACTGCCTCTGAATGTGGAGGTTCCCCTCAGTCACCACGGCTAGTGGCCACTGATAGACTTATCCTCCATGAATCTATCTAATCCCCCTTTAAAGCTGTTTGTTCCTGTGGCCATCACCACATCCTCTGGCAGCAAATTCCACATTCTAAACACTCTCACTAACAATGTTTAGACTGAGCGCAAATGTGCAAGGGAGACGCAAACATCCTTCAGTTTCATGCCTAATAACGGTCTTATTTTGGGGGATGGAGACTGATCGAGAGGAGGACTCCTTTTCTTCATATAACATCAAACATCCATCTCAGGCTGATTTGTGCAACATTCCTAATGTCAGGTAAAGGCTGAATACCCTGAAATGTGTG